TTGTCATTTAGCCATATTCTAAGTAATTCCTTTAGTTCTAACTAGCTACTAATTTTTTTTAGCATTTCAAATATATACACATACATGCTTAGACAAAATGGAATGTTACAAAAAAATTTGTTTTGTATTTTAAATAAAATTTTCATTAAAATCATTTTAAAAATACAAAGAAAATATTTGATTTACAAGACTATTTTTGAAGCTGTTTTGAATAACTTTTTGAAGAAATGGTTTTTAAGACACAATTTTTTGTGATTTTATCTATTAGTATTATTATATAATATAAATTTAGATTGTATAATATTAAAATTAATCATTTAAATTAAAAAATATTTTAAATTTTTTTTTAGTATTTTAAATGAAATTTTTATTAAAATCATTTTAAAAATACAAAGAAAAAAATTGTTTTTCAAAACCAAAACAAACTTATTCTTTATTATCAAGTAAATTCATTTTTTAAAAATATATTCTTTGTTTCTTATATTTTATTTATTACAGTCAAACATAATTGTTATATAAATATCTGTAGAAGATTCAAAAAATAATTACTTTACGGGTGTTGTTTGTCCATTCATCTTTTCAGAAAACATGGCTATCAACCGAGTATATTTTTTCATTGCAATTCTTTGTATTGCTTTAGTTTTGCATCCAGGTAACATACTTATTTATTCTCTACATAATTTTTTATTATTTTATAAAAATAATTGAATCCACAACTCCTTCTCAATATAAAAAAAATTGTATTGGTTGTAGGTGGTGCAAGAAGATATGAAGAAATTATGAGTGATGATATCACGACTGATTGTTTTGACACACCAGAATGTCCATTATCTAATGAAAGTTGTTTACAGAGATGTGGACGACGAGGTTTGAAAAGTGGCAGTTGTCAAGGACATCTATGTTGTTGCCAAATAAATACACTCTAATGTAGCCCTATACCGCTGTACAAGTTAATGTACGAATATTATTATCATTTTGGCTTCTATCAATAAAATTTAAAAATAAATACATTTAAGTAATTTTACATCGATCTCAATTTTAACTATCACATGTAACATTATTTTTATTTCCCATGAAAGGAGATAATTTTCCATTGATCAATTAATTATATAAAGTTACCGTGATTTTAGTGTCTTAAAATCATTGAAACCAATCTCCTCAATTTATGATATGCGTGTGAAAATACATATCATAAATCATTGACATTAATGGACATTTCACTACTGTCTTATCCACAAGGATGTGTGATTGTCGCTTCTGCCCCTGGGGTCATGATGAGGAGAGTGACAAGCTTGGGATCGTCCTCGTGGTCCCGTAATTTCTAGGTGCTGAGAGACAGCATCACTGAGAACCACCTGAGGCGTGAGTCTGGGATCGAACAACTTGTAACCTCCTGTTGAATGATATCCTACTAGGATCATTTGATTCGATTTGTCATCAGGTTTTCTTCTCAAATGATATGACACATGTTTATGTGCTATCGATCCAAACACTTTCACATGACTCAAGCTATGATGAATGTAGATAGTTTAGATATAATAACTTAGGTGGTGTGTTAAATTATAATTCATAGTGTCGAATAATGTGTGTGTCAAATTAAATTTGATTTAGTTACACACAAGATTTGATTTCAATCTAAAATAGAAGAGATTCGATTTAGGTTTAAATTAGAGAGATTTGATTTAGTTCTAAAATATGTATTTTGGACTTTTATAGTTTTGGGCTTTTGGCTTAGGGAGCAGGCTAACCTAAATCTATAAATAGAGGAAGTAACCCCTATTTTGTAATCAATCAAGTTGTATTCAAAGATTTTGCAGTTGCAAGTAAATAAGATGTTTTCTACAATTTGTGGGCAGAGAGAACTCTGTAGAAAATCATTGTCTTCTCTTTCTTTTATTCTTTCATATAATTCATTTTTATTGTGTGGTGATAACAATCTTGTTCATCAAGATTGAAAGAAATTCATCATAGATATTGGTGGATTTCCAACATCTGGTATCAAGAGCCCAGGTTGAGTGATCATGGGAAGAAGAAGAAAATCAATGGCGGTGAATTATGCAAGTGGAAATTTTTCATCAAATCTTCATATTCTTAAAGGTGATTGTGATACGGTGGGAGAATTGACTTGGTTGTTTTGCATTTGATCGCAAATGTTGCGGTTAGCAAGAGTCGCCACCGACTTTTCTTTTATCCAAAAGGAAAGGTGAAAAAGCACATGAAATGCATTTGATCATTCAATCAAATGGATGAGAAAATATAAGCCACTATTGATCAGTTCAAGGTGTGTGTTCTCAATGGCTTCAATTGCAACGCGTTCTCACCCATATATTTACTTGATTCTTGTTGCAATAGCTTTTACATTAAATTTAATAGAGAAATTTTTTGAAAATATTATCATAAAAAACATTAAACAAATATTATAGAACTATGGTATACCATTGAATCAATTATGATACCTATGCCTTAGTTTATTAATAGTGAAAAAGAAATTATGGAAGAAAGTAGATGATCTCCTACAAGAAAAATAATTTGTAATATCCCCGTAAGAAAAATTGAATTGAAACCCGTTTATTCACCAAAATTTATAGAATTATAGAATCAAGGATAAAATGATTGATATTTGGACAAATCCCCATTAATCTTATACTATAAATTGAGTTGAATCAAGATTTAATAGAGTCGAAAGTATACTTAGAAAGTTCCAAAATCCACTATTTGAGAAAAAGGGCCTACATTGGTAATATGGTTTAATAGCAAGGTTATTTTGGTAACTTCACATTTGTTTAATGAAAGGAAACTTCATGGTAATTGCTTATATAATTTAAGTCTTGTTATTTTAATGACCGACATTCTCAAAAGTTTTTCGTTCCTCTCAAAAGCATAGAATGAACATGAAAAAGGGAAGGAAAAAAGGAGAAGGGAGACTCCCTCCAATGGCTATCATATTTCAAGTATCTCTCAACAATGTAAATCCTCCGATTGCATGCTAATAATTTTGTAGTCTTCATTTTTTAATGCAAAGATCACCATTATCGAGAAGCTTGATAATGGATAGACAAAAAGCTTAGCTCAATGGAGGCGACACTAGTATAAAAAACACTTATTAAGTCAGAAAAGATTAAATTTTTAGCTCGGTTTTGTACCCTACATAAAAGTAAATATTGTATCCAGTCAAAACTTATTGTAGAGACATCTCAACTGCTGGACTTCTTTACGAGCAAATCATCTTAAAACTTTTAGTTACCTTCAATATAAACCCCTTAGGCTATAATATTTGACTCTACGACAATGCTTAATTTTTGTGAGGTAAAAAAATTGTTCTTGTAAATGTAATAGACAACAAATTTAATATTTCATTGAAGGAGGATAAATATTTTTGGCAAATGATACGCAATGGCTGAAAAACATTCTTGTAGATGACAAAGAAAAAGATTTTGTATTCTCTTTTTTAACAATAAATAAAAATCATTCTTATAAAATTTTAAATTATTTTAATATAATTGTATATTTAAAATCGTTCTCCTATATTCAATAAAAGAAATAAATAAATAAACTGTTCAGATATAGTTTTAAGCTATGTTTATAATTTTTATAAGACGTTGTAATTTTTTTCAAATTTTTACTCTTCCATTCCAAAAATAGAAATTTTCTAAACTAATATAATCTCAAAATTTCAACTCTTATCTCCCAAACATAGAAATTTTCTAAACTAATTCTTTCAACTGCTTCTTCTAAATCACAAACTCAAAATTTACAAAAAATTCACACCTTAACTCAAAGTCTCTAAAATCAGAAACCGTGATTCGCTGTCAATCAACACATTACACCTATATTCTCATCTTCACAACCTTAATAAAGAAGCACAAACCACCTGAACTAAAGGTGTCATTCTCTCTCTCACTCTAACTGTATTTCTCTCTTTCCTCCACTTCAATTTCTTATATATATATATATATATATATATATATATATATATATATATATATATATATATATATATATATATATATATATATATATATATATATATATATATATATATATATATATATATATATATATATATATATATATATATATATATATATATATATATATATATATATATATATATATCAATTCCTTAACATTGTTCAATGTTTATAATTTTCATATATTTGAACTTTGATAAAAACCTATCTAGTGATGAAATGCTTTGTTGCTATGTAGCATCGAAGTCTCTAAAAAATGGTATTATGTCAGTATCCATGTCAGACACTGATTGTCCGTGCTTTATAACTTTGTTGATGTTTGTGACCTTTGCTAGAGTTTGAGCATGTATAAAAATAAGAATTACGAGTTACTTTAAAGATATAAAACTAATAATTGACTGTTAAATGCAGATAATATCGCTAAGTTGAGGCTATTAAGGTTATCTGAGTGAGTTGATGAGCTACAAATACAAGCATCTATGTAAATCTAGGAGGAGAATGGAAATAACGCAAGGGACATATTTTTTAGAGGAAACAGGTGTTGCATGCATTGAGGAAGTCTAAAATTCACATTAAATTGCTTGACGAGCTTCCCGCAAAGCTTAGTGAGTTAATTGAATTCATTTATAAATACTATACTAGAGTATCATATTTTGTTATATTTTCCATTACCATCATCATTATGAAAACAATGTAATCACTCATCATAATAATAAATACTAAATACTACCTCATTGTCACCAGACGGTGCTTATCTAGCCTTGTTGCACCAGTTGACACATCTCTTAGTACCAATGACACAAGCTTGTGCTTAAACAATAGGTCTCAAGAAGGCTTAATAGAATCCATCTAGGCTTATTTTTCTCTTTATTTTACGTGCGGGTGTGTGTTTTATACTCTCGCTTTCTCTTGCTTAATGTTTTTTATTCTTTATTACAAAATAAAGCTATTTTGTTTGCAGGAAATATCTTCGAAAGAAAATAAATTTGTTTGAAATGTGACTATGAACATTGAAGACACAACACAAGATGGTTGAAGTCTAGTTCAAATCATTCTCCAAAGAAGGAATTTCTTAAAGATTCTCTCAATGATTATTATGATTTGATTCTAATAAGATGAAGTTCAATGATATTCAAGATGTGCAAATTTCTCTAAGAGTCTAGAGAGACCATTGGATGATAAGGAGATAGATAATCCTATGAAATCCCTCAGAACCGATAATTCATATTTTCTCATTTGAAAATTTAGACATGAAAACTAATTTTGATTTGGTGGTTTTACAAATTTCCTAAATCACAGAATCAGAAGTTGTAAGTATGCAAAAGCGAAGAGCTGATCAAATTTGCTTTGGTCAATGAAGCTTCTGCTGCCAGGTGAAAACTAATTTGAGTTATAAAATAATTTAGATTATTTTCTATAACAATCTGCTTTTAATATTACTATTTGGAATTCCTAGCATGTAATGCCCTCAACGAAGTGTCAATTTAGTCGTAATGGTATATTAAAATAGAGAATTTAAATCCCCTCTGTCATGTGAGTTTGAATTGTATCTGTAAACTAATGTGCTTAAATTTTCTAGATATGTTGTGTTTTCTTGTGCATATTTTCCTTTATGTGTAGAGTTTGATGACTCTTCTTGCCCTAGATGTGCTTTATGTGTATGACTCTCATGTTATGCTGAATTGTTATGCGTCTTAATTGAGTGATGTTTTCTTCCATCTGAATTATGTCTTGATTTGAATTTTCTTCACTTTTTGAATCACTTACATTTGTCTCTTAAGTATCTGCTGAGGCCCTTGTAAAATGTTTTAAAAGTCAATAAAGTTAAATTTAATAACTTTAACATTGTTTGAATTAATTTATATTTTAGAAATATTTTTTTAGATATTAATTTATATTTTAGGAATATTCTTTTAGATCTTTTTATATCTTTGTTAGAGGATATTTAGGATTTTATTATACTCTAATTTTGTGTATAAATAACATATGAGGTAGGTCTATGTAATTCATTGTAAATTATTATTCCTTATTTTTAGCCGTCATTAAATATATTTCTTTTGTCTTTCACCTCTTCTTTGTGCACTAACAATTGGTATCAGAGCTCCAGTTCGAAACCCACGGGAAAAGTATTGTGTGATTGAGAATTACAATATTCTGAATTTGTTTAATTTGGGAAACACTGCTTTATTGAGTTTCTGCGTAAATTACACAAGGTAGAAGATGAATGGAAATGACGGCGATATCCATTCCAAGCTTCCAGTTTTTGATGGCAAAAACTGGAATCTTTGGAAGATCCAGATGCACGTGTTGTTTGGTTCTCAAGATGTGTTAGATCTTGTCACCGATGGCTATGA